TTCTCGATTTCCACACACATCCACTCTTCTTGCTGTGGTCTGAATGTTCGTGCCTCCCCGCCATTCACATGTTGGAATCCTAAAGCCCCAGGGTTGGTGTTAGGAGGTGTTTAGGAGGCTTTAGGAGGTGATCAGGTCATGAGGGGGAGTCCTCATGAATGGGATTAGTGTTCTTATAAAAGAGATCCAGAGAGCTCCCTCACCTCTTCTGCTATGTGAGGACACAGTGAGAAAGCTCAGCTATGAACCAGGAAGGGTCCCTCACTCGACCACACTGGCATCTTGATCTTGGACTTACAGCCTCCAGATCTGTGTGCAACGAATTTCTGATCTTTATAAGCCAGTCTGTGGGATTTTATTACAGCAGGCCAAATGGACCAAGACATTTCTCTTCTACTTCAAACCTGAAATGTTCCCCAAATTTCATAGGAGCCTTATTTGTAGTGACCCAAAGCTGAAAACAACCAAAATACCCATCAACGAGCAAATGGATCAACAAATTGTGGGGCATCCACACAATGGCTTGCTACTTGGCAATGAAAAGCAGTGAGCTACAGATCTAACAAGTCAGAGGAATCTAAAAGCAATGATGCTAAGTGAAAGAAGCCAGGCAAAAAGAGTACATAATGTTTGACTTTCTTGTTCTAAACTTCTAGAAACTAAAAACTAAGCTATAGTGAAAGAAGCAGATCTGTGGGTCCCTCTGGGGAATGAGGTAGAGGGCAGGAGGAAAGATTGTAGAGAGGTAGGAGAAAGCTTTGGGGTGATGGAAATGTTGGTTACACCATATGTACATATGTCATCACTTATCAAATTGCATGCCCTAAATACACACCGGTTATTGTGTGTCAATTATATATTAATAAAGCTGTAAAAAAATAAAGTATCTCCTCCCCTTTCCTAGACTACCTGCTGTATGCGTACACCCTTGATCACCTTCTCTCCTGAGTCATCATTCCCTACCTCCTGTTCTCGGTCCCTCCACCTGCCCCCACAGGTGCCTTCTCCTTGGCATAAAATAGGAACTGAAATCTACTCTTGTACAAACTGCTTCCTCTGAACTCTCATGCTCCTCAGTTGCTATCTTTTCTTTCTCTTGACTGCAAGTGCTCATGATGGGTAGTGCACTCTAACCCCAACCATTCCCATTTACTTCTCAAGTCCTGACCCCCTGGTATCTCTCCTCAGCACTCTAGTGCACTGCTTTCTCCCTGTCGCCAGTGATGCCGGCTTCAATAATGTCTTCTGAGTTCACACCTGCCAGGCAGCCCTGACAACACTCTTCTGGTTCAACCTCCAGTCTGGAGACCCCATTCATGTCAGTAGCTCCTTGCCTTCCAAACCTTGCCACCTGTGAGTTTTTCAGTGATCTGCCTGTACTTCTCTCCATTCCTGATGCTTGGCAAATGTATCTGTTCAAGCTTCTCCATACAAATGGCTCACCCTTAGTTCTGACCAGTTTCTATCTGTTTAATACCGTTAGTAAGAAGATCCTAAGCACCTTATCATTGACTCTGGTGGACCCATGCTTGGTCTCTATATTTGGATATGGGGCTCCTCAGTGGCTCCAGGGCTGAGGCACCCATTCTCAGCTTCAGCCACTGAACAGATAGAATACAATGCAAACCAGGGAAAGAGAGTGGTTCCCAGGGTTTGTCTGCATAGATTAATCCAAGAGTCTTTCCCTAGGAACCTGGTATGATATCAGGAGCCTGAACTTTCAGGGACCATCATACAAAACTAGAGAATAAAGGTGAGCAAGAGGAAGAAGAGCCACAGGCGGATCTTGTTGGAACCTAACACATGTATGCCAACCACCAAGTTGTGTCTAAAGTCAACCGTCCTTTGAGACTTTTTGTTGTATAAGCCAATGCATTTCCTCCTGAATTTTCTGTTACTAACAGCAACCAGAAGATTATGAACTGTATATCCCCTCAACCATGGTGTTGAGACACATCCCTTAGCAAGTGTTTCTTCCATCATCAAAACACATTAAAGCCTTAAAAATCCATGCTCTAGAGCTTATCACATTACAATCATAATAGAACACATATCCTATACTCTTTAGCAGACCAAAAATCTCTCTAAGGAAAGAGAGCATGTGTGCTCACCATTTCATGGCACTGCAGTGCCTGAGGCTCTGTGGACACCCAACACCCTGTTTAAATTTGTGTTGATGTCTAAAGAGTTCTTTTTGTGACAGAAGGATGTTGAGCATCACAACTTTTCGAATGGATTCAGATCTCCTTTTAGGTATGCGCCGTTAACCTTCCTTTTAAGATTGCCCTTTCTAACTCTTCTGGCTTAAACTTTTTCAATGGATTCCTATTGCTCCTAATGTGGAATTCCACCCACTTATCAAACCCACCAGGCCCATGGGATATGATCCCTGGTGACTGTTCCCATTTCATCCTTTCCCACCGTACCCCTGGACCTTCTTCACATGCCCTGGACATACCGGCCTCTTTCTAGTTTTTTGAACAAGTCAAGATCTTTTCAACCTTGGGACCTTGACCTTGGTATTCCTTCTGCCTGGAAAGCTTATCTTCTCATCTTAAATATCATCTTCTTCAAGAAAGAGTCTCAGACTACTCATCTGCATGCAGTACCCCTGTTCTTCTTAATCCTCCATGGCACCTGTCTTTTCCTTAAGAGCACCTATCACAGTTTGTGTTTATACAGGTGTTTGATCGACACATGCTCACTCTATGACTCTCACACTAAGTTATAAGAGGGAAAGGATCATTTCTGCTCGGTTCAGCCACGTCACCTAGTATGAGTCCTAGCCACAGTAGAGGCTTAAAAATGTACCTGAACAATGGATCTTCCACAGCAGGTTAATATAGTAGGCACATATTGAAGCTTAATAGATAAGGTCTGATTGAACATTATTACATGTCTTTTTCAGTCCTAAAATAACCTTCTAAAGCCCTACTGACATTGACTGTCGTAAAATAACCAAAACCAAATAAACACCAACCTGGTAGTTAACACAGCTGATAATAGACACCTGCTAGACCAGCAAACCCATTTAATAAATTCGTTGCTAAGTCTGAACAGCCAGATAGAAACAGGAAATAGCACTGTTCACAAAAACCCAAAGATGAAAACAACTCAAATGCTCATCAGTGAATAGACAAACAAGTGGCATAACCATACAGTGGAATAGTATTCAGTCATAAAAAGGAACAAAGTACTGATACATGCTACAGTGTGGATAAACCCTGAAAACATTCTACTAAGTGAAAAAAGCCAGAACCAAAAGGTCATATATTGTATAATTCTGTTTTTATGAAATATCTAGAATGGGCCAATCCATACAGACAGAAAGCACATTTGTAGGAATGGGGAGTGTGTTTGTAACGGGTATGGGGTTTCCTTCTGGGGTGATGAAAATGTTCTGGAACTAGATATGGTGATGGTTGCACTGAACTGTGAATGTTCTCAATCCCACTGAATTATATGTATTAAAATAGTTAAAATGGTAAATTCCATGTCATAAACATATTTTACCACAATTAAAAAGGGGAGACAGGCAATAGACCATGTTAGAATGTATACTATTTTTCAAAAATCTCTGTATCTGACCTCAAAATGAAGTACCAGGTAGCAAAGTAGTAAATGGTTACTTTGAGAGCCAAAAAATAATCTCCTGCTGCAAACCAAGAAATTTCCTCACAAATACTCGTTTTCCAGAGGTCTGGGGGCAGGAGAAAGAGGCACAGTTGCCTTCTACCTATGAAACGTTCTACCCTAGCGGCTTGGCGTGCCCAGGCTTCTAAAGAATCCCACAGAACAAGGTTTCTTTCTTTTTTTTTTTTTTAAAGATTTTATTTATTTATTCATGAGAGACAGAGGCAGAGGGAGAAGCAGGCTCCCCGTGGAGCAGGGAGCCCGATGCGGGACTC